CCATTTATGGACTAATACGATTTTCCCAAATAGTCACTATTTATCGCTGAATTCTTTGAAAGCGAGAGTTAAAGTAAGATATATCTTTTTTGAAGATCCGAATTATGAGAAGTCACGACACTTTACGCAACCGCTTTATGAGATAACAAAAACAAAAATTATTTGAATAGTCATAAGATCACTTTTGCTCTTTGCGAAATGTAGTTAGCAAGAAGCACGGTTATATCATAATCAATATTGTGTCTTTACTTCACATTGCTTGTGACATCCAAAGATCTTACCGCGTCATTGCATCAAGGCTGTAAAACAGGTGAGTTTCGTTCTTCAATATTTCTACTTGCGGTCAATATAGTTCGACTTGCATGGGAAAATTCTAGCTTCCACATCTTTTTTCTTGGCTCCAGTTTCTTCCACTTGTATGCCACCATTACAGCGTTTCTTTTAACAGCACCGCCAATTCTCCCCTTGTTCAATAACCAGTTTGTAGAGCACACAATTGTACGAATTGTTAAGTATGTACTGAAAGCAGCCTTTTAAAGTCATATTTACTCAGTATATATGCACCCGAATAAATTCACTAAGTATGACCACAATTGCTTTCTATATATAAAAATATATTGAAACTTTAGAATTGTGCTTCGATACTTTTCATCTTACTCTCAGGAATATTCTTATAATCTACATTGTAGACAAGTGTGGAGTCAAGTTGAATGAAATTAGATATAAAGCATTGGTAAGTGAAACACATGTAAATATAAAGCACTTTATCAGTCTCATTCTCTAGCAAAAATATTTTTTGCCCCCTTTAGCTCAATTAAAATACTCCAAACACAATAGCGTTGAAGATATCATAATTTAAATGTCTGTAGAGACGCTGAATAAACGGAATTATTACGCTAAATCTTTTGTACAGCTTAGTTTAAACTACGAGTGCATGAATAAGTGCTTAATTATAAGGTAACCTTGTGATGAGGAAACGAAGCCAAATCTTAGTTAATTGAATTAAGAAATAGTCAACTACAATCCTTTTAAGTACAAAACAGGTTAGAATTAAAGCAACTTTGCTTTTTATATATGATAATATTGCATAATAATTATGCATATATTACAAGAGTTTATTTGAAACAATACTTCTTCATTCAATGGAACATAGGTTGAGGTCGAGGTAAATGGTATCCAAGTGAATATATAGACACATTTGGAATCAAATCCTGACCGCTACCGCATAAAAAATGTTACAAAGCCATTATGCATCCTTTTGATTTTTGTAACAAATGAATTGAAATATAAAAGAATCCGAATCAAATAAATCGAAGTACTAAAATGACTCAAAACTTTGATAATCAGGCTCGGTTGGAGATAGTATTTTGGCTTTGAAAAAATCTATGACTAGATGAGGATTGACAAATTGATACAATGAACATAATACGACGGTGTCCACATCAGTAGATTCTAGGTCCAATCCACGCAAGTATTAAACATGAGTGATTAGAAGAATAGAAGTGAAATAAAATTTTTGGTCAAATTAATGTTGAACAAAGAGTATAATGACCTCTTTATTCTAAATACAGCAGTTACCATTATAATAAAAATGAATGAATGTTTATACATTTGTGCCAAAGACCTTGTCATAGGCAAGCATTGTAAGAAAAGATCTTTAAAACTGGATATTTTCCGATATAAATCGTTTACATTAAGAGCAAACATGAGCATCTTTTTTAAGTAGACTTCTTTTGTCTAGGCCTTCTCTTAATAGATTCATTAACTATATTTCCTGTGACTGATTAAATTGCCGGTCCTTTAAAAGCTACCCACCTTAAATATATTTTTTAAGGGCTGTGATATTATGCAATGTTAGAAGGGTATATTACAGAAAATCCTGCTCTACATTTACATGCGCATCACACCTATGATATAATTCATTACACAGAAAATGTTTAGTTGACCGTCAACTTCCTCCGGCATTGAGGATAACTCGTGATCTGTGTGATTTAGCCTCTAAAACTGTCGGCCTTGATCACAATTCTGAACGGCTATTTTCGAAAAAAAATTCCCCCTTTTTTCTTTTTATCCCCATACTCTGGACTGGCGACCCGTTCCGGTAGCTGAATGCGATACACTTCTGACACCTTCCATTCGCCCTCAGCTGAAAATCTTGCCTTTCGTAACTCTGATGAGCTCATGTCGGATCCGAGTGGCCCAGAGCCGTCCAGAGTAGAGTATGTTATAGGCCTATTGACCGATTGAATACTGTTGATCTCAAGGTAGGGTGTAGAGTCCTCTGGATGAGACAGTATTGACTCATGCTTCGATTGATGAGGAGGGTATTCTGTAGCCAAGTATGGAGGTAGGAAGGATCTATTTTTCTGGGAAGTCGAAGCGGCCGGAGGCATCAAAGGCGAGCCATGAAAGGAACCCAAATAACTTGGCTGATTAGTGGCAGGGCTATGAGGCTCGATTCCTGATTTATGTTCTCCCAGCTCTGCCTCGTAGACATTTTCACCATTTATGCTGTAGTACATGTTAGTCGGGTCACACTCATCGTAGGTATCCTCGTTACAGCCAATATCAGCTTCGCAGCAGTGATCCTCATTTTCCCGAGAGCTCTGCCTTTGGGTATGATATGAGATGACCAATGGTTGCTGTGCACAGATGTGTAAATAGAATGAAAAAATTCATCTTCAACTTAGGTAAAGTGAAATCTTATTACAAATTCAGCCCTCGCTATTATTTCATGTATAACGGCTTTCATGCCTTAAATTTCAAAAGGGGCGCAAGCTTACAATTTCATCTATTTATGTCGGGTGGTTGGCGCAATCGGGCTTGTTTTTATATAAATAATTTAAAGTAATTTCAAAATTTCGGTTCAACATTAATGAAAATTTGACAGTGTGGGAGTGACATAGGTATTACAATTAGGCACAATTAAATTTTCTAAAAAAAACCCACTAGAATGGCTGACAACTCTCACTAACTTAAGTTGATGATTCTATGAAATGCTAAGTAACATTAATCTGGTTAACCTTGTATTCAATTCTGAACATTAAAGTCTATTTTTAGGTTGGCAGCTAAGCAACAGGATATATTGTATTATCACCTTTG